GAGTCTTGCTCTGTTACCCAGTTTGGAGTGGAGTGTCGTGATCTTGGCTCACCGCAACCTCAACCTCTCGGGTTCAAGCAATTCTCCTGCCTCAGCCTCCCGAGTAGCTGGGACTACAAGCATCTGCCACCATGCCCGGCTAATTTTTTGTATTTTTAGTAGAGACGGGGTTTCATCACGTTAGCCAGGATGGGTCTCGATCTCCTGACCTTGTGATCCGCCGGCCTCCTCCTCCCAAAGTGTTGGGATTACAGGTGTGAGCTATGGTGTCCAGCTGAATGCTAGGATTTGAGATAAAATCTTGATGGAGTGAATAGGGGTCTATCCCTTTTGGAGCCAGGTTTAAAATTCCCCACCTGAGGTCAGGAGTTCGAGATCAACCTGACCAACATGGTGAAACTCCATCTCTACTAAATACAAAAAGTTAGCTGGATGTGGTATTGGGCATCTGTAATCCCAGCTACTTGGGAGGCTGAGGCAGGAGAATTCCTTGAACCCAGGAGGCAGAGGTTACAGTGAGCCGAGATTGTGCCATTATACTCCAGCCTAGGCAACAAGAGCAAAACTCAGTCTCAAAATAATCCCTTTCCGTAACTCAGTTCAGTGTGTGAGTCTGATGGACATTGGAGCCCCGGTGGGGTCAGGTGTACTTAAAGGCTGCATCAGGTCGTGCTCCTGACTGTAATCCCAGCGCTTTGGGAGGCTAAGTTTGGAGGATCGCTTCAGCCCACAAGTTGGAAACCAGCCTGGGCAACATAGCAAGACCACTGTCTCTGCAAAAAAAACTTAAGAAAAAAAAATTAGTTGGGTGCAGCGGCTCATGCCTGTAATCCCAACACTTTGGGAGGTCACGGAGGGAGGGCTGCTTGAGCCTAGGAGTTTTAGACCTGCCCAGGCAACACCGTGGGACTTCCATCTCTACAAAGCAAAACCAAATCAAAAACCAAAACCAAACAAAACCCTAAAATTAACTGGGCGTGGTAGCGCGTATCTGTAGTCCCATCTGCTAGGGAGGTTAAGGCGGGAGCATCGCTTGAGCCTGTGAAGTAGAGGCTGCAGTGAACTAGGTCCTGACATTGCACTCCAGCCTGGACGACAGAGCCAAACACTGTTTCTTTTCTTCCTTTTTTTTTTTTTCCAGACGGAGTCTTGTTCCGTCGCAGTCTGGAGTGCAGTGGCGCAATCTGGTCTCACTGCAACCTCCGCCTTCCGGGTTCAAGCAATTCTCCTGCCTCAGCCTCTTGAGTAGCTGGGGCTACAGGCGCGCACCACCATGCCCAGCTAATTTTTTGTATTTTTAGTAAAGACGGGGTTTCACCATGCTGGCCAGGCTGGTCTCGAACTCCTCCTGATCTCGTTATTCCCCCGCCTCGGCCTTCCAAAGTGTTGAGATTACAGGCATGAGCCACCGCGCCTGGCCAGACCCTGTTTCTAAAAAGCAAAAAATAAAGTCTGGGTCCACTAGGCCAAGGGAAGCGCAAGGTAGTTGCAGGGGCGAAGCCCACGAAGAGGAGGTTTCCTCGGAGCGGTGTCCGTTTTCGGGGGCGGAGGACTTCAGACTCTCTGGCCCTAGGTGTCCGGCTTCTGGAAAGGCGTCAGGGTTCAAGCGCAGGACAAGGCACAAGCCAGGGATCCTACGTCCGCCGCGCACTATTCGGCTTTGCCCCCCGGCAGCACAGGGCGGAAAGAGCCCTTCTTCTGGCGCGCAGACGCGCCCAGCCCAGCCAATCAGAGCGCTCCCTCCGCCGGCCCGACCGGCGCTCTGGTGACGCGGGACGCCGGCCTTCGCCCACGGCTCTTGGACGACCGCACCTCCCGCACTCACCGCGCCCGTTAGCTGGGCGCCGCGCTTCTTGTGCGACGGCTCCTGGGCGGCGGCGCGTTCGGGCGCGGTCCTGGCGCGCCCCCTGGCGGCCCGGCGGGGCGCGGCGGGCGCGGCGCTGACCCGGAGGCGGCGGCGGCGGTGCCCGGATGGAGGCACGTCATTGTCCCCCGCCGGGCGGCTGGGCTGTGTGCGGCGGCGGCGGCGGCGGCGGCGGCGGCCGAGGGGGATGGAGCGAGCGCCGAGCCGGGTCAGGTAAGCTCCCGCCTCCTTCCCGCCCGTCGCAGGCGGGCATGGGGCCCGCGCAGCGCCCAGCTAGTCTGGGCCGCCCCTGGCCCGGCCGCCTCTCAGCCGGCGCGGCCCGCCGGGGGCTGGCGCGGCCCCTCGCCCGCCTCCCCCTCCACAGCCGCGGGCCGCCCGGGACCCCGTCGCGCCGGGGGCTGCGCCGCCACCGCCCGCCAGGGCCAGGCTGGCCGCTGGGGATGGGGCGGCGGCCGCGGCGGGCGGGCGCCGGGGGAGCTGGGCTGCGCGGGGAGGCCGGGCCCCCTGGTTGCCATGGACACTGCGCTCCCACCCCCACCCGGCCCCAGCCCGCCCCCTCGGCCCGGAGACCGGGCGGGTCAGCGGGGAGGCTCGGGGCGGCTGGGGTGGGCGTGTGCTGGCCGCTGACCGCGGAGCCGGGCGTCCCCGGCCCGCCCGCCGCCCCCCGCGTGGCTGCCACCTCCCGCCCCGGAGCGCCCCTCAGAGCCCCGGGCCGGCCTCCCCGCCCCCACTGCATCCCTAACAGAGACAAACTTTCCCACCCTGGGCGTCCCCTCCCCGGGCCTGGCCACCTGGCTGGCTGCTCCGCCGAGCGTCCGAGGTGTCCACGCCGGGCTGATCGGCCACCCCGAGGGGAGAGGAGGAGCCGGGCGGCGCGTCCCCAAAAGCATGTGTGCCTCCTTCGCGTTCTTTATCTTAGGGGCAGTAAGAGCCAACTTACCTGGAACGGGGTGGTGATAGGTTGCAGATGTTGGAAATGAAAATTGGACGAGAGTTTTCCCATCTAGGACTTTAACCCCTCTAACATGCATGCAGTGGAGATGACTTTTGTTGAATGGCTCTTAGGAGGCCGTGGGGTCACTTGTTTATAGGAAAACGTGTTGGTTATGTAAAGTCAATACCCTGACAGCAAAACTGTTTGATAAACTAGTTAACACCTCCTTTTCAAGGTAACCACAGAATCCTAGGTTCTCATTTTGGTGTCCTCTCAAAAGGTTTTGAAGAGTTGTAAATTTTAAACCTAATTCTTTTTACCGTGTTACTCATTCAAAGTGCCTAGGGGATATGAATAATCAGTTTCACTTATTTGTTTTAAATTAGGGCCAGTTTCACTTTCTTTTCTGTATCTTTGAATCAAGTCTACAGTTAGTATTTGGTTTGTAAAGCTTAAGGCTAGTCGTTTTGTTTACTTAAGTATAATTAAGATCAAGGTTGTGTCTTTTTAAAGAGTGTTTTCTCTTATAACGGAAATGGTACAAGAACGTGGATTGCATTGTTTACGAAGAAGCAGAGTGTAACACTTTTTTAAAATGTGTTGATACTATTACCTCAATGTTTGTAGAGCGTCTAGTGATACTCTTTTTACAAATGAAAAAAGAGTAATGTATTCTAGCATTTGATAACAAGGGAGACATACCATATAAAAGACGGAATTTTGAGGCTTTGAGTACAAGATTGTAGTAAAGGAAACACTTGTGAAGTCTCATTCCTCCACACTTACCCAACCTCGATTCATGTTCATGGTTTTTTTTGAGACAAGATCTCCCTTTGCTGCCTAGACTGGAGTGCGGTGGTGCAATTGTAGCTCACTGTAGCCTCAACCTCCTGAGTTCCAGCAGTCCTCCCACCTCAGCCTCCCAATTAGGTGGGGCTACAGGCATATGCCATCATACTCAGCTAATTTTTTTTCTTAAAGAGACAGGGTCTCAGCTGGGCACAGTGGCTCACACCTGTAATCCCAGCACTTTGGGAGGTCGAGGCGTGTGGATCACTTGAGATCAGGAGTTTGAGACTAGCCTGGCCAAGGTGGTGAAACCCCATCTCTACTAAAAATACAAAAATTAGCCAAGTATGGTGACAGGTGCCTGTAATCCCAGCTACTTGGGAGGCTGAGGCAGAGAATTGTTTGAACCAAGGAGAGTGAGCGGAGATTACGCCACTGTACTCCAGACTGGGTTGACAGAGTGAGACTCCCATCTCCAGAGGAAAAAAAAAAAAAAGGATCTCACTGTTGCCCAGGCTAGTCTGGAACTCCTGGGCTCAAGCCATCCTCCTGCCTTGGCCTCCCAAAGTGTTGAGATTACAGGCTTTAGCCACCATGCCCCGCGTGTAAGTGGTGGTTGTTGCTGCTGTTTTTAATGCTCTTGTAAGTTTTGTACATCATCAGAAGATGTTGCTTAAAAGTCGTGATATTGGCCGGGCGCGGTGGCTCAAGCCTGTAATCCCAGCACTTTGGGAGGCCGAGGCGGGTGGATCACGAGGTCAAGAGATCGAGACCATCCTGGTCAACATGGTGAAACCCCGTCTCTACTAAAAATACAAAAAATTAGCTGGGCATAGTGGCGCGTGCCTGTAATCCCAGCTACTCAGGAGGCTGAGGCAGGAGAATTGCCCGAACCCAGGAGGCGGAGGTTGCGGTGAGCCGAGATCGCGCCATTGCACTCCAGCCTGGGCAACAAGAGCAAAACTCCGTCTCAAAAAAAAAAAAAAAAAAAAAAAAAAAAGTCGTGATATTTATTGGGCATGGTGGCTCATGCCTGTAATCCAAGCACTTTGGAGGCCAAGGCGGGTGGATCATCTGAGGTCGGGAGTTCAAGACCAGCCTGACCAACATGGTGAAACCCCGTCAAAAAAAAAAAAACTTTACTATCAGCAAAGCTGAGAATAAAGAACATGTAAGCATATGAATCTTAAGTTCTGTGTAACATTGTTTGGCTTCAAGAAAGGTTATGTGTGTAGCAGATGGAGTTCAGCTTGATACCTGATGGTTTTAGGTCAAGACTTAATTGACTGAATATACAAATGAAGATGAACGGATAGTTTTGGTTTGTTTTCCACAATTATAATGCTGTAGGGTTACTGATGACTTGTACTTTCCTTAATTTTATTTTATTTTTTTTCATTTAAGAGGTTTCATCTCTTCTAAAATGTAATTTGAGCAAGTAAAATGGTTTTATTTGGTCATTTGTTAATGATTGTTCTGAAGGTATGTTTTTATCCCTTGAAAATCAAGGTTTTTGCTGCTGTTGAGTATTACTGTAAATAAGGCTGGATTAACCATTTCTTATAACTCTGTTTGGGTTTTCTTCTTCCTTTTCTTTCTTTCTTTCTTTTTTTTCAGACAGAGTTTCATTCTTGTTGCCTAGTCTGGAGTGCAGTGGCTCCATCTTGGCTCACCGCAACCTCCACCTCCTGGATTCAAGCGATTCTTTGGCCTCAGCCTCCTGAGTAGCTGGGATTACAGGCATGCACTACCACGCCTGGCTAATTTTGTATTTTTAGTAGAGACAGTGTTTCTCGATGTTGGTCAGTCTGGTCTTGAACTCCCAACCTCAGGTGATCTGCCCACCTTGGCTTTCCAAAGTGCTGGGATTACAGGCATGAGCCCCTGTGCCCGGGCTCTTTTTCCTTTTCTTCTTGCATTTTTTTCTTCTCTCCCCACACCGTTTCATAATTTTTTTAACTGTTAGATGAGGAAAAATGTAAACTGTATTTGGATTATAAGGGTCAAGCTTTCTTCCTGATCGAGGGTCATGTATCTTTGATTGATACAAAATTTCAATTCACTTTTTTTTATTACTTCATTGAAATATAGCAAACATCTTTTCTATTTCTAGGTGAGTTCAAATACTTTAAGATTGTATTTTTTGGGGTGATAATTTTACCCTAATTAAAAATTACACCAGCCTGACCAACATAGTGAAATCCTGTCTCTACTAAAAGTACATAAAAAATAAGCTGAGTGTGGTGGCACGCATCTGTATTAGCAGCTACTCAGGACGCCGAGGCAGGAGAGTTGCTTGAACCCTGGAGGTGCTGAGCCGAGACGGCGCCATTGCACTCCAGCCTGGGTGACAGAGCAAGATTCTGTTTCAAAAAAAAAAAAAAACTACCAACAACAAAATTGATGCTTTTTAAAAACAAACTTGGCCTGGCATTGTGGCTCATGCCTGTGATTCCAGCATTTTGGGAGGCAGAGGCAGGAGGATCGTTTCAGGCCAGGCGTTCAAGACCAGCCTGGGCAATATAGTGAGACCCTGTCTCTCCAAAAAAAAAAAAAAAAACCCCGCTAACGTTTTGTGAGCAGCCAATGCATGGTTTCGTTTGTTCATTGAAGTGGCAAGCACATGGATATTTTATTATCCCTACTTCGTAGCGTGGATCATACTTTTTTGTACTTTACATATGTATCAAATATTTTTTAAAACAAATTTTAAGGCTTGTTTCTACTCTAGAGTTTTTTAGGGTCAAATGAGATACTGAATATAAATCACTCAGCACAAGCTGGTGCCAAAAGCAAACGCTAGTTGTTTTCTGTTTCCAGACTTTGTTCATTAATTTGTTCTTCATATGTATGGAAAGCTGTCTCTATATGAGGTCAGAGGATGTAAATAAGAACATGGTAGACAGCAGCAAGGAAAACAGCTGTGGAGTAGATGCTAGCACGCTACCGTAGAAATCAGTGCAGGGTGCTTTGGGGGCCTTTAGGAGGGGTTTCTAACCCAGTCTTGGGGGAATGGCGGTGTCAAGGAAAGTGGCTCAGAGGAAGGAAATTATAAACTGAGAAGTGGAAATGTTAACTGGCTGGAGGTGGAAGGTTGGAAGAGAGAGCAGGGACCAAAAAAAGAAAAAGGAAAAAGACTTCAGCATGGTGGGAATGTGACATAGTATTTGGAGAGGTTATTAGGTCAGACAGTGCCAAGTCCAGGCATTAAGATGTTGTGCTGTGGGCAGTTAGACCACTCTTGAAAGGTTTCTTTTTTCTTTTCCTTTCCTTTCCCCTTTCCTTTTTGCATTTGAGACAGAGTCTCACTCTGTCATCCAGGCTGGAGTGTAGTGGTGCAATCTCGGCTCACTGCAACCTCCGCCTCCCAGGTTCAAGCAATTTTCCCTGCCTCAGCCTTCCAAGTAGCTGGGATCGCAGGCATCTACCACCACGCGAGCTAACTTTTGCATTTTTAGTAGAGATGGAGTTTTAGTCAGTCTCAGTTGCTGACTGGTTGCAGACTGGTTGGGGTCACATTTTCTTCATTTTATAAACTCTGGGGATTCTGTCTCATCTCATAGGTTCCTTATGAAAATTAAGTTAATGTATGTCTAGCAGTTGATGCAGTGCCCAACACAGAAAATGTTCAATTAGAGTGGTAGCACTGCTATTTTAAAATAGGACTCAGAGAAAATTATAATCGAGTACTTTTGTAACAGATATTTGTGTTCAAGTTTGATGTCAGTATGGCTTACAGGTTTCATTTAAAAAGTCATACATTCCATATAAATGAGCCTCTTCGGAAAAATGGTTTGTTTTAAAGGTGAGATCTTTATAATCATAATTTTTAAAAATGTAATGTATTTCACATGATGCCATTTATGCTTTAAGCACAAAATTAAGTCTAGATTGTCTCCGTGTAGTTGATGCTTTTCTCTGAGGAATTTACTCAAATTGAAGATTTGGTCAAGTGTATTACTATGTATAATTTTTCTAGTTTTAAGCAGTAGAGTGGGAAAATATAGATACTTAGTAAATAAATAGAATTGAAAATTGAAATGCCCCATTATAAACTGAAATGCCAGACTTTTAGGGGGCATGAAATAAAATGAGAAGTTCTAATCAGATACAGCACTGAAGATTTTAAAATAAAAATTGTTGACATTCAGATTAACGTAATGCTAAATGTCCCAAGGAGATTATTACAGAAATGTTAGAAAGTGCTGTTGTTTTTATATTTGGGTGATACATTTGAAAATAACTTCAAAATGGCTGAAATGATTTTCCAAGATCTAATTGTAGGGAAGGTAGATTGCTTTTCTCAAAACCTGTTGAAACAAATATGTACTTTTCATCTTTTGCAGAGTTGAACAATGACCATAGTTGACAAAGCTTCTGAATCTTCAGACCCATCAGCCTATCAGAATCAGCCTGGCAGCTCTGAAGCAGTCTCACCTGGAGACATGGATGCAGGTTCTGCCAGCTGGGGTGCTGTGTCTTCCTTAAATGATGTGTCAAATCACACACTTGCTTTAGGACCAGTACCTGGTGCTGTAGTTTATTCGAGTTCATCTGTACCTGATAAATCAAAACCATCACCACAAAAGGATCAAGGTATTGTTTTTGAAAAGAGAGAATTACTGCCAGAAACTCCTGTATAAATGCTGTTGGTGGGTTGTGGTTTCAGAGATAGGCTTACTTTGGAAGGCGGGAGGCCACCTGAGTGGTCAGCAGGGTTGCATTACTTGATGGGCTTTGTTTTCCTGTTACTTGTTCACAATTAACTTATGTATCACTACAGAGTAGATTATTTTTAGTTACTAGAATATTAGTAGTTTATTTTATTCCAGTTTTTTAAGGATAGACTTTATCTTGGTGAGAATTGAGATGGGCAAGTATTACATTAACTTGTTAACCAGTAGTTATTCTAGTTTCCTAAGTAGATAACTTTTACAAATTTAAAGATGTTTTGTAAAATGGTTGTCCTTTGATAAATGTTTTCCCAGCGCTTTTTTGTTTTTTGGTTTTTTTTTCCTGGCAATTAAAAAATCATTTGTAGTAATAAAGCTCTTTGAAAGAAAACAGGCCAGTCGTAGTGGCTCACACCTGTAATCCCAGCACTTCGGGAGGCCAAGGTGGGTGATCATGAGGTCAGGTGTTCGAGACCAGCCTGGCCAACATGGTGAAATGCTGTCTGTACTAGAGATACAAAAAATTAGCTGGGCATGGTTGCACACGCCTGTAATCCCAGCTACTTGGGAGGCTGAGGCAGGAGAATCACTTGAACCCAGGAGGTGGAGGTTCCAGTGAGCCAAGATCACACCATTGCACTCCACCCTTCGTGATAGGGCGAGACTCCGTCTCTAAAAAGAAAAAAAAGAAAACAGGCTAGGCACGATGGCTAACACCTATAATCCCAGCACTTTGGGAGGCCGAGGTGGGTGGATCACCTGAGATCAGGAGTTTGAGACCAGCCTGGCCAATATGGTGAAACCCCATCTTCACTAAAAATACAAAAATTAGCTGGAGATGGGGGCGTGTGCCTATAATCCCAGTTACTGGGGAGGCTGAGGCAAGAGAAGCACATGATCCTGACAGGCAGAGGTTGCAGTGAGCCGAGATGGCACCATTGCACTCCAGCCTGGGCAACACAGCAGGACTCTGTCTCAAAAAGAAAAAAAAAAGAGAGTACAATACAGAGGTTGGTGTAATGATACAAATGTAGTTACATTTGTTAAAACTCATCCAGATAAATGAGACATTAACACTTCAAGGTGTTACTTCCAAGGCTTTTGGATATGAGGACATGAAGATCTGAAATACAAAGAAAGATAAATATAATTTGTTCCTAGTTGGATTGTTGTTTGGCTTAGAGCATCCAGCCCAGGACAGCTTTGAATGTGGCCGAACACACAAATTCATAAACTTTCTTAAAACATTATGAGATTTTATTCGCGATTTTTTTTTTTTAAGCTCATCAGCTATGTTATTGTATTTTATGTGTGGCCCAAGACAATTCTCCTTCCGATGTGGCTCAGGGAAGCCAAAATATTAGACACCCCCTAGCTTGGAGTAGTTTGATGGTCATGTTGTTTTGAGTCCCCTAAGTAAGTTTCATATTGTGATGTGGGAGTGGGTGTTGCAGTTTGGTTTGCTGAAGATGTTTTGGGTAGGGGAAAGTTTATATCATCAAACACAACCTGATCAAATGTTGCAGAGAGGTGTAAAGTCCTTTGGCTTCTCTCCAGCAGCACTTTTTCACAGGACCTCTTTCTCCACAGCCTTCAACCTCCTGTCATATTGCTGGGGCTCCTCTGTCTTCTTAGAGCTTAACTGACATCTCCCCACTCTGCCCTTTTCTGGGGCTCTCATCTCATTCTCCACAGGATCCTTTCTCTTGTCCTAATTTTGCTGTCCATTCCCCAGCAAGCTGCAGCCTGCCTATGCCTGCCTAAATAACCACTAATACCTGTTCAAATCAAGAATGATTCCACATGGCATCTCAGCCTTTTGTTAGAGCACTGGGGGACTGCTACAAAGCCTTTAAAAAAGTCACTCTTGCCATTGATGATTTTCAGCTTTCCTAAATAAGTTGTTTCTTGAGCTTTACCTTAGTTCTGTTAGCATTCTTAGTTATTAGTAATCTGTTGATAATCTTCAAAATGGATAAAACCTTTTTAGATCACAGACAGTCTACTCACAAATGTGTATAGTGGTGCCTGACAGCCTGAGTTCAAAGCCTGCCTTCTTAGCGGTAAAATGGGGATGACCTCAGTACTAACCATTAGAATTGCAACTGTTTGGCCTGGTAAGGGCTCCCTACATGAGATGATAAGGATGACAGCGATGGTGGTACTGAAGTAGCATCCATGGCAGATGTTACAAGGAATCAGTTTATCCCATTCTTTTTATTGATTGTGTTACTTATTTTTAAAATGTTGAAACTAAATGTAAAAGAGTAATTATAATGAAGTCTCATGTAGCCATCAGCCAACTTTGACGTTAATCAACTTATGGCAGTTATCCCTGCACCTGCTTACCTCCCACGACGTTATCTTAAATCCAATACTTCATCTTTCATTTGTATTTTAGTCTCTACATCTAAAGAGTTTTTTTCTAAAAAAAAAATGTCTTTATATGAAAAAGCCATTCAGTGTTTATATTCCTCTGGTTGTTCATACACACACACACACACACACACACACACACACACACACACACGTATATACATATAAAATTTACATGTACATAAAATACGTGTGTGTGTATATTATGTATGTGTGTATATGTATATATATATATTTATATATATATATATATATATTTTTTTTTTTTTGAGACAGATTTTAGCTCTTGTTGCCTGGGCTGGTGTACAATGGCGTGATCTCAGCTCACTGCAACCTCTGCCTACCAGGTTCAAGCAGTTCTCCTGCCTCAGCCTCCTGAGTAACTATGATTATAGGCATGTGCCACCCCACCCAGCTAATTTTGTATTTTTAGTAGAGATGGGATTTCTCCACATTGATCAGGCTGGTCCAGCCTGACCTCATGATCCACCTGTCTTGGCCTCCCAAATTGCTGAGGTTACAGGCATGAGCCCCTGCGCCTGACCCTGAATGTGTGTATATATTAAAAAAATATATTTTAAAAAAATAGACAAGAGAAAATATCTCCTAGTTGGCTGAAAAAAGAAAAAATAAAAATAAATAATACATACATATATATGTATGTGTGTACACACACACACACACACACACACACGTATTTAATCAGTTGTTCAGAGCAACATCCAAACGAGGTCTACACTTTGCATTTGGTAGATATATCTCTCAAGTTTCTTTTAATCTGTAACTCTTTCCCCTTTTTGTCCTTTTCCAGTTCGTTTATTGGAGAAACTGGATCATTGACAATTTCACGTGTTCTGAGTCTTTTAAAATGTCCCTATTCCCACTGTATTTAGGCAGGCTGGTCATGAGATTTCAGATCTTGAACAGATTGAGGTTTGACCAAGTGTCACTATTCATTTAGCTTTGGTATGCAAAGATTGGTTTCTGACTCTTTCTTGTTTATTTTTCTAGCCGTAGGTGATGGCATCGCTCCTCCACAGAAAGTTCTTTTCCCATCTGAGAAGATTTGTCTTAAGTGGCAACAAACTCATAGAGTTGGAGCTGGCCTCCAGAATTTGGGCAATACCTGTTTTGCCAATGCAGCACTGCAGTGTTTAACTTACACACCACCTCTTGCCAATTACATGCTATCACATGAACACTCCAAAACATGTAAGTGTTCTGTGTTGTGTCTGTAATATTGTGGCATGCTAACCTACTTTAATTCTTTTATCTGAAATGAAAGTGAAGAATTAAGCCAAGAGTTCTATGATTGCTAAGAAGTTGGTTTATTCTTCTAGAAACCAAGGAGGAGGACTCAGGGTTGGTATTCAGGTTGCATAAAAAACATTTAGCACCTCATTGGATCTGTGAAGGTATTTAAAAAGAAACATTTTATCAGCTTTTGGCATTTCTGAACTCCTTGCTGGTTTTCTACACTCACTAAAAAAAAGTGACAGAAATATCTGACATTAGCTGGGCTTACACCTGTAATCCCGGCGTGTTGGGAGACGGAGGAGGGAGGATCACTTGAGCCCAGGAGCTGGAGACCAACCTGGACAACATAGTGAGGCCCCATCTCTGCTAAAATAAAAATTAAAAAATTAGTCTAGCATAGTTGCACACACCTGTAGTCCCAGCTACTCAGGAGGCTGAGGCAGGAAGATTACCTGAGTCTGGAAGGTTGAGACTGCAGTGAGTTGTGATCACACTGCTGTACTCCAGCCTGGGCAACAGAACAAGACCCTGTCTCAAAAGAAAAAAAAAGTCTGACATCAGCAACTTGGGACAAGCAGGGTGTTAAGAAATCCTGCCTCTCCTGGCATTTATACCATATTGGAAGACTTGATTCATTTACAGGGTTATAAGCCTTAGTGGAGAGGAACCCTCTTGCCACTGCCCTCAGCCTCCTGGAATTCAGACTGGACTTTCCCTTTAGCATTTGAGAACCTCATCTTCAACCTAAATGGCAGGAAATCAGTTAAAACATTAAAATGTCTTTAATTAGATAGAAGCCAACTCAGTGTTTGACTATCAACGTTCAGAATTTGGAACATCCATTTTTGAAGTTTTGGCCTTCTACATATGTTGTAAATATTCTTTACTCTTTATAAATGCAGTCTCCCTGTTCTTTGATCTAAATTAATGCTCAGATTCATATGTGTATGTTCTGGTGCTATTCATTAGTTACTAGGATTAAAAAAAAAAAAAGTTCCTTGGTTTCTTTTTGAATAGTTCTTTACTTAACAGAGATTTAAATTGGTTCTTTTAAAACTGATTTTTTTTTTTCCTCCAGAGAGCCAAATAATGCTTGCAAAGAATTTGGAAAGTACAGAAAAATTTAAAGAAACTAAAGAAAAATCACCTAGAATCTCACCACCTACCTAGAGGTGTCTGTTATGCCAAGGGGTTTTAAATTACAGAATGAACGTTCTGTTTGCCCTCATTTTCTCCCTTTCTAAGTCCATAATTCATTCCCCACAGACAGCTTTCCTATCACTTTTGCGCTTAATGAAAGTAGGGTGTGGATGAAAACCCAGCACTAGCACCTGGACAGCAAGAGAGAGGACCAAGACAAAATTCAGAAGCTTCCGGTGTCCAGAATTAGGTGCCTATCTTTTATGCTATTGGTAGTTTTTGCGCTTGCTTCCTCCCTCCCTTCCTCTCTTTCTCTCTCTTTTCCCAGCTTTATTGAGGTATAATTGATGTATAATAAATTATACATATTTAAAATACATAATTTGATGCATTTTGACATTTGTATACGCCCATGGAACTAGCATCAAGATTAAGATAATGAACATGTTCATCACTCTCAAAAGTTCCTGAATGCCCCATTGAAATCACTCTTTCCATCCTTTCCCCCACCCCGATCCACTCCTACCCGGCAATCACTGATCTGCTTTCTGTCAATGTAGATAAATTAGTTTAGATTTTCTATAATGTCGATTATGTGGAATTGTACAGTATATATTTTTATATTATCTTGCTTCCTTCACTCAGCATAATTACTTCAACATTATTCCATTTGTGGCATGTAACAGTACTTCATCGTATTGCTGAGTAGTATCCCATTTTATGGCTGGATCACAATTTGTTTCTCCATTCATCTGTTGATGGGCATCTGGGTCGTTTTTCACTTTGTGCCATTACAAATTAAGCTGCTATGAACATTTGCAAACAGTCTTTGTTAGGGCATGTTTTCATTACTCTTAGGTAAATATCTAGGAGTAAAATGGTTTGGTCCTGGAGTAGGCGTGTAGTTAACATTTTAAGACACTTCAAAATTGTTTCCAAAAGGGATTGCAGTGTTTTATAGTCTCACCACTGGTGAATGAAGCTTCCATTTGTTCCACATCCTTCCCAGTACTTGGTGTGGTCAGTCATCTTCAGTTTTAGTAATCTCCATAGGTATGTAGGGTGTAGTATCTTGTGGTTTTAATTTGTACTTTCATGATGAATAATGCTGAACATCTTTTCTTTCTTTCTTTTTTTTTTTTTTTGAGACGGAGTCACACGCTGTTGTACAGACTGGTGTGCAATGGTGCGATCAAGGATCACTGCAACCTCCGCCTCCCAGGTTGAAGTGATTCTCCTGCCACAGCTTCCCAAGTACCTGGGATTACAGGTTCCTCCCACCATGCCTGGCTAATTTTTGTATATTTAGTAGAGATGGAGTTTCACCATGTTGGTCAGGCTAGTCTTAAACTCCCAACCTCAGGCAATGCGCCCGCCTCGGCCTCCCAAAGTGATGGGATTACAGGCATAAGCCACCGTGTCTGGCCTTGTTTTTGTTTTTAAACATCTTTTCATGTGATTATTTGCTAAATGTCTGTTGAAATCTTTTGCCCATTTGAAAGCTGGTATTTTTCTTATTGAGCTTAGAGAATTCTTTATATATTCTCAATTTAAGTCTTTTGTTAAATAGGCTGGGATTTGTCTTTTTATTCTTTTCAGTGTCTTTTAAACAGTGCATTTTTTGTTTTGGGAAATTTCATTTCTTTTTTTTTTTCTTTGTTTTTTTTTTGAGGTGGAGTCTCACTCTGTTGTCAGGCTGGAGTGCAGTGGCACAATCTCGGCTCACTGCAACCTTTGGCTCACTGCAACCTCCACCTCCTGGGTTCAAGCGATTCTTCTGCCTCAGCCTCCCAAGTAGCTGGGACTACAGGTGCGCACCACCAAACACAGCTAATTATTTTTGTATTTTTAGTAGAGATGGGGTTTCACCATGTTGGCCACGATGGTCTTGATCTCTTGACCTCGTGATCCACCTGCCTCAGCCTCCCAAGGTGCTGGGATTACAGGCATGAGCTACTGTGCCTGACCTTTTTTTTTTTTCTTTTTATTAATTGTGCTGTAGGTGTTTTAAGAAGTCTTGGTTGGGCTCATGGCTCGTGCCTGTAATCCCAGCACTTTGGGAGGCTGAGGCAGTCCGATCACTTGAGCCCATGATTTCAAGATTAGCCTGGGCAACATAGGGAGAACCCATCTCTATAAAAAATTCAAAAATTAGGCCAGGTATGGTGGCTCATGCCTGTAATACAGTGTTTTTGGAGGCTGAGGTGGGTAGATCACTTGAGTTTAGTAGTTTTGAGAACAGCTTGAACAACATAGCGAAACCCTATCTGTATAAAAAACACAAAAATCAGTGGAGCATGGTGGTACACACCTGTAGTTCCAGTTACTTGGGAGACTGAGGTGGGAGGAACATGAGCCCTGGAGGTTGAGGCTGCTGTGAGCAAGACTGTGCCACTTTATTCAAGAAAAGACAAGAAAAAGAAACGTTTGCTTACCTAGAGACCACAAATATTTTTCCTATACTTTCTTCTGGAAGTCTTACAGTTTTAGCTTTTGTGTTTGGGTCAGTGATTCATTTTGAGTTAATTGTTGTTTGTGATATGAAGATGGGGCAAGTTTGTTTTTTTTTTTGCATATGGATGTTCAATTGTTGGAAAGATAATCCTTTTATCACCAAATGGTCTTTGCACTTTTATCAAAAATTAGTTGATTGTAGCAACAGAGACAGAAGAAAAAAAAATCAGTAAGCCATGTAAATACGATGTATTTTTGGACTCTATTATGTTGTACTGATCCATTGTTTATCTTGATACCATAACAAAATGTCTTGATTACTATATATTTTCAAGTTTTGTGGCAACTGCAGGGACTTATGTCTGTAATCCCAGTGTTTTGGGAGGCTGAGACAGGAGAACCGTTTGAGCCCAGGAGTTTGAGAGCAGCCTGAGCAACATACCAAGACGCTGTCTCTAAAAAAAAAAAAAAAAAAAAAATTAGGTGCATGTGGGAACTCATGCCTGTAGCCCTAGCTACTTGGGAGGCTGAGGCAGGAGGATCGCTTACGCCTAGGAGTTTGGGGCTGCCATGAGCTATGATTGCACCACTGTATTATAGCCTGGATGATAGAGAGTGAGATACTATCTCAAAAAGAAAGTTTTAGAACTAGGTAAGTCCTCTAGCTTTGTTCTTTTTCTGAGTTTTTCTGTAGCCTGGGCAACATTGTTAGACCTTACCTTTACAAAAAATAAAAAAATTAGGTGAGATAAGTGTGGCGGCAAGCTTCTGTAGTACTAGTTACTTGGGAGACTGAGGTGAGAGGCTTGCTTCAGCTTGGGAGGTGGTGACTGCAGTGAACTGTGATTGTGCCACTGCACTGCAGCCTATATCAACCAAAATAAAAAAATTGTTCTGGCCATTCATGGTTTCTTGGCTGTATTTCCAAATGAATTTTAGAATCAGTTTGTCAGTTTCTACAAATAGTCTTCCTGGTATTTTGATTGAGACTGTGCTGAATCTTTAAATCAATTTGATGTGAATTGACATCTAAACAGTATTATTTTCTGACCCATTAGCAAGGTATATCTATTTATTTAGGCCATCTTTTTTTTTTTTTTTTTTTTTTTTTTTTTCTGTGATGGTCTTGCTCTGTTCCCCAGGCCGGAATGCAGTGGTGCACAGTCACGGCTAACTGCAGCCTTGACCTCCTGGGCTCAAGGTATCCCCCTGCCTCAGCCCCATGAATAGCCAGAACTACAGGCATATGCTACAACACCGAGCTAATTTTTTATTTTTTTTGTAGAGACAGTCTCGCTATGTTGCCCAGGCTGGTCTCAAACTCCTTGGGTCAAGCAGTTCTCTTGGCTCAGTGTTTTGTT